TGCTTTTTAAAAGGTATAGCATGAAATAAGAATCATAAAGTGGTGAATAATATAAGCCTACGAATTATTTAGAATTAATGGTGGTTAAAAATCGACTAAATTGAATTTATTAAACCAAGAATCACAATTGATAAACTACCACTTTAAAATATATCTCTGCAAAGCCAACGCCTCCACACGATTTTTTGTGGGTAGACCGATCAGACCAATGAGTAAAATTTCTTACTTACTTACTTTATTTATAAAAATTGGGCACCTGGGCCGCGCAGCGGCCCCTATCCCATACATCTAGAAATTTACATAAGTTTAAAGTGATAACATTTTGAATTTAGCAGTCGATGTGGTTGCTAATACAAAATTACAAGCACTTTGCTTGGGTAAATAAACATTTGAATATCGAAACTAAATTTACACATATAAATATAAGCATATANCAAAACAAAATCATAAGCACGCAGCTGTTTGGCGATTTGCGAGAGCGCTCCTTTAACGCTAATAGAAATTTTCGTCAACCCTTTGCAATCTACGGTATGTTTTGTCAATTCGCTTACGGGACACATGTGGACATATGAATAATCTTCATTATGGAATATTTCAGATTTTACAAACTACCGTTTTAGAAATTAAAATATATTTTATTACTAATTTTAAACGCTCAGCCACATTTGATGTTTAATTCAATGTATTTTTAAAAGTATATTGAAAGAATCCGCTAGCAATATATTTGGCTGGTGGGTGTTAAGATCTAAAAGAATGAATATTCCTGAATTAAGTCTATGTCATTGGAAAAGTTTTTCCCTTAATTATGATAGTAATTAGTACTAAAAAAGTCTTATTCTGGGTTAGAAAAAACGTTGAAAAGTATTAATTTACATCAGAAAATTTCTTCTCTTCTCGCGTATCGCTTTTGAACAGATTTCCCAACAATTTAAAAGGGATTCAATTATATAAACACAGCTATTTATAATTTGGTCTGTCTGAAAGTTCTGTCCGCGAAGAAACACGTACCACTTTCAAAATGCAAAAGGTGCATTTACTTACGCCATAATGAATTACAATTTTTTTTTTATTTTCTAATGTATTAATTTTCTTAACGAAATTTTTGGATATTTTTGCGTTACTGATTTCAAATCCGCAATTAGTATTACTCTACAAGCAACAGTTTTAATTCAATTTATTAATAAATATCTAACCAGGATTTTTTTAAATTTAATGTAAACAAATATTAAATCTTTCTATCCCTTTACTCCATACCAAGCGGTAAAAATTTTTTTTTAATTCATTTGAGTATATGATGCGATACATTCTGTCTGTAATAGAAAAATAATCTATATCATATTTTTCCATTGCACAAAAATATTATTCCATAATTCATAGAAACCAATTAACGTAAAGTCGTGTTCCTTGCACAAGATATGCAGGTCACCACAGGCGACTAAAAATGTAAAAAGTGGTAGACATTTTATTCATTTTTATTATTTATTACTCTTTAGTTATTCAACACTACTAGGACTCACATTTCGAGTTGTTCATATTTAAAGGAAAATCATTATCAAAAACATTATCATAAATATATAAATCATTATCATAAATTCGCTTTCAATAGTAAACCAGAAATGAAAAACTGTTCTGCTTTCTGCAAAATTTTAATAAATTGGCAGCAAATTGAAGAATAAACCTTACAGAATTAGGATAATTACGCCCACCCTTTCAAAGCGTCACCACGTGACAACAATAATAATGTTGCATTTCTTATGATATTTTCAATAAATTAAATTACAAAAAATGAAGTGAAAAAACGTTTGTTTTACAAAGCGAAGCAAGTTGGCATCTCTGGTAATCTAAATAAAATATACCACATCTGATCTATAATCCAAATAGAAATGCACATTTTAATATCTTTTATTAAAATTCTATTTTTTAATCGCCACCACTTTTTGCAATTTTAGTCACCCGTGGCAAACCTGGATATGCATGGTTTTTTTCAACAAAAAAAAATCAAATCTATTAATAAATAATGATATAGTACAGGCTTATAATTGGAATTCATTGCGTAAAGTGTTTCTTTTAACTTTATCTTGTTTGTATCTCGTTTTCGACGCAGAAAAATAAAAACTTTGAATAACATACGAACTAATGATCGGAATTACACCTAACAGATTTGAGTGATTCAAGGGTCAAAACTTAAATTTTCATTAGTTAATTGCATAAATTAATTACACTAGTTAATAACTGAATCACACAGTATTTTAAGAAACAAAATCACTCATATGACAGTACAGTTTTTTTTTTTTTTTTAAATTTTTTCTCGACAAATTCGAATTCTGTCGACATGGATACTCTAATAGGCGATATAGTCAGGCAAGCGATCAAATGTTTAGTTCTCTTTATTTTCATTTTACGTTTTTCCTGTTTCGCAATATCTCAAGAAATTTTCAAGCTCATCAAAACATGTTGCACACAGTCATAAAATTTTTTTTATCCAAGTATCAATGCCAAAAAAATAGCTTCAAATAATTACTTATAATTTATTATTATTTTTGTGAAAACGTTTTAAAATTTCATGAATTTTAAAGTATATAAATTATTAAATCATTTTAAGAAATGTAATTTTAAATAAAATTAAAAAAATGCACCTTCTGTTTAATTGAGAGATGTTGAAAAATAAATAATACTCACTGAAGTAGTTCAAAATTTTGAAACTACAGCTTCAGAAAATCGAATATATTTCGTAAACAATTTTAAATTTAAAATACTTAACTTGCAAAGTACTTTCTTTTTACACAGTCATATAGTATGCACAAGTTTGAGCAATATTCTAAAGATACAAAAATATTTCCCTTGCAAGTTTTCTATCTAAAAATTCTACAATATTTCAACTATAACACAGCATTACCGCTAGAATCATACCACAGTACTAAGTGGTTAGTTTTTTAAAATCTTGTATTATTGAAAATAGGGGTAGCGTATCACAGTATTTCATTTGGGGGAAAATAATGCCGAGACAGAATTTTATCAGGTGGAAAAACAGGTGTAATCCACTGGAAGCAATAACTGGACAATATGGTGGATGTTCAAATACTTCTCAGTGAAACTTTCAGCAAATTTTTTGTGGTTTTTTCCGAATTCAGACAATATATCACCGGCACTGAGAATGCCACACCTTTTCATCTCATCACAAATGCTATGGTTTTGCCTATTAATATGCTATTGCACAGTAAAGTTCCACACTCATGCAGCAGACTTTTAGGATACTGAACTACAGAAATGTATTTCACGGCAGTTCAATTGTTACAACTCTAAAAGCATTTAGTCCTAAAGTAGTAGTAACATTACAGCATCTTTTCCATTAAATCTTTTATGGTAATTTTGTCGTGTTGGGAAAATTAAGGTCTGTTTACGCGGTCTAAGTGTTTGAATCCGAGAACTTAAAGGAATTTCACTCTCCAAGAAATTGGATGATTTGTAGACACTCTTCAAGTTCTTGAATGTCACTGATGGGTCAGATGAAAAACCTGCGCATGCGCATTGTTAATATTAAACATTACAAAATCGCACTTACATGAGTTCAAAATTACTAAATAAATAAAATCATAATAACACAAATAGACCCAAACAGATTTATTTAATTTAAAATACATGAAAACGGACAACTAAATGACATAATCTGATGCCTGCTTTCTGACGTCACGAAACTTAAGAAGCTGATTGGTGAAGGGAGGAAAAACTTGTATGAAAAGCAGAACATGCTCTATTATCATCCACGAACTTGGACCAAGAACTTGGATGATCGTTTACACGATCGTGATGAATGACAATCACGGTTTGTCATTCATCTCGCCGATGGCCGTGTCTGGATACGCCGTCTCCAGGCGAACAGTTGCTCCCTCAATGTACAGTAGGTCATACACAGGCCGGTGGTGGCGGTATTATTCTTTGGGGGACGTTCTCTTGGACGTCTCTGAGACCCGTGGTTGTGGTAGAGCAGACATTACTACAGGCTACAGACTACAGGCTATCTGAACATCATTTCGGACCAGTTGCACCCTTACATGGCCTCTTTTTTTCTAGCTGGAAATGGAATTTTCCAACAGGACAACCCGTGTCACAAGGCTCAAATTGTGTTGGAGTGGTTCCAGGAACATGATTCTGAATTCCAGTTAATGTCCTGGCCACCTAACTCACCGGATCTACGATAACAGCGACACGGAAAAAGATACAATTATTATTCCTCTGCTTTATTGTTTTTATTATAATTTATTGTGCTTATATTAATGCAGATTGGCTTTTTCAATTTTTAGCCGATTGATAATTTAACACCGTGCACATTACCCATAAGAAAATGTCAATATGACCCAAAAAAAGAGTAAACTCAGGTGATTCCATCAAAAATTCAGTTATTAACACGTTGAATGCCACGGGTGTCACCGGTGACCGGCGGAGCCAAGATTATTAGAAACACATAATTCGAGTAATATTTTCTATATTATTATCGTTACTAAAATGGTTTGAAGAAATTGATGCAATATAGAACACACAAAAATAGCTTAATTTATTTACACAGAGATACCAGATTGCTCCAGACAGCGAATAAATATTTTCAAGTGGTAGTTTATTAATTGTGATTTTTGGCTTAATAAATTCAATTTAGTAGATTTTTTCCATCACTATATCTAAACAATTCGTAGGCTTATATAATTCCCCACTTTTTTCAGACATGTCATGCTAAACCTTTTAAAAAACTTTAATAAAAAACTGTCAAATTTTCAAATTTAGTTTGTAGTTATTTATCGCTTGGCCAGACTGGCAAACCATGTAAAATTAGCGTGGCATTCAACGTGTTAAATTATTGGGTGGGTGAAAGCTACAATTGTTTACGCGACTGGACAACCAGGAGTACAATCATTATTAACAATCTAAAAGCCATTATTACCATAAATCATAATTTATAGAGCTGAAAATAAATGTTTAATGTTCTTTCTTATTTGTATTATTTTTAGCTAATACAAGAAGAATTGCCATTAGACAAAATAGAGGGAAGCTGATTTGACTTGAAATTGAAGAACTAAAAGAAAATGGTGAAGTGATGCACTGGTGAAGTGGTTGCACTGCAAACAGCGGGACTGTTTGAACACCTATTGTAATAACTATTTTTAAGATTTTAATGCAGATACTAATGATACATATTAGTATTTATTTCCACCTATCCAATATCTACGGAAAATGCTTGAGTAAAAAATATGATTTTCTAACTTGAATTGCGCTTCTTAGACAAATAAGTAAATTACTGCTTTTAATAAACTACCAGTATTTTAAAAAATAATTTTTTATAGTGATTTATTTAAAAATTTTATTTTTAAGACTAAAATCGTCACAATTTATTTATAAATGTTGTTACAAATATGTATGCAGGCTTATAAGCCCTTGTCGAATTTAAGAACAAATAGTGATGAGCATCACAAAGATGTATCCAGAATTATTATGTGATTCGAATCGACTACTTCCGTACGATAATATTCCACGTTTTTAAATCGATAATGATTATGAACAGTGCTGATTAAATGTTTTAATTTATAAATTTATTTTACTAGAATTTCTTGTACCGGTTTTTCAAAAAAACATTTTTTCTTCGAATTAAAAAATAATTACTGACTGTATTTGAATACTTGAGCTATAATGCAATTACGTAAGTATACGAAGTATACCTACATAATTGCAAAACTAAATTTAAACTTCAAAACATTACTAAAGAGTGTATATACAATAGGTTGTTTTCAAGATCTACTGATTTTTAGTTTGAAAGATCTATACGTTGTAATCAAGATCTTTTTAGAGCTATGTTAATGAGGCAACTGATAATGAATTACCCTGTTATATTTATTTCACACTTTACCACTGATAAATAGAGTAGCTAATAAACTGCTTTATTTAATTTTAAAAATATTCATGTAAATATTAATAATCAATAATCTGTGAGAGTTTTTATAGAAACGAATTATTTCATTGAAATAATGTAAACGTAAGTGTGATGATGTTTTATAAGAAATGAAATTGTATTTACATGTTAACAATTGAACTCTAAATGAAAGTTTAGTGTTTTCACTGTATTTTGTATTGTTATTGTAAAGTAATAGATATAGTAAAGTTTGTTATTGTTATAAGTTTTCTGTTATTCAATTCAAAACTAAAAATATTCCTCTGCGGGACAAAGAGCATGTGTCCTTAGCCTTAAATTTTGGAGCTATTAAAGATGATTGTTTCACACCTTTAAGCTACAAGCAAAAATAAACTCGTATCACTTCATTTTCTCAAAAACAGCCCTTGCCAAACGATGAAGGCTGTTGTTTTATGAATTAGAATAAAACCTTACAAAACAACCAAATTAAACAGTTCGAGCCTATGGGTAATACGAAAAACTAGCTTTGCTCGTGCGGAAGCTCTTTGATTCCAAGAGATATCCATGAAATTGTAAAAGTTAATTTTGCATTAAATGTTAGCATTAATTTAAAATTTATCAGGCAGCCATTTAATCTCACAAGCAAGAATAACATTTCTACTCGGGATATTTCAATACAGTAGGCATCAAGATTATTAAAATTATTTCCTTCGTTGTCATGAAATAGAATAGAAAATTCATCCCAATGCTCGCTCCATTACATGCTGTACTACTTCCACATGCACCTCTCAAGACATAACTTGAGTATATATATATATATANAGGCCAAGGCGGGTGGATCACTGAAGGTCAGGAGTTCCAGACCAGCCCGGCCAACATGGTGAAACCCCATCTCTACTTTATATATATATATATATATATATATATATACACTCAGGAGTCAAAACGTTATGACCACCCCTACATTTTGCAATGAACTCTCTTGGATGACGTGGAAGGCACATGATCAGGTGGAAGTGGTATTTAACTGTTGCTGGAGAGTTTGAATAATCATTATTTCACTTACTTCTGTGCGTGATGGGAAAGGCTGCGGATTTAAGCGACTTTGATAGAGGGCAGATTGTAATGGCTCGAAAGCTCGGAACAAGTATTTCCGAAACTGAAACTGCACGACTCGTGAGTTGTTCGCGATCTACAGTTGTTAGTAATTATGCAAAGTGAATGAATGACGGTGAAACCAGCAGTAGACGACATGGTGTTGGACGTCCATATGCTATCAAAGAAAAAGGTCGTCGGAGATTGTCTCGCTTGGTGAAGCAAAACCGGAGTCAAGTAGAATAGTATCAGAGCACACTGTTCAGTGGACACTGTTGGATATGGGGCAACGCAGCAAACGTCCCACTCGTGTGCCTTTACTGACCAAGTGTCATCGCCAACTAAGCCTGCGGTGGCCCCGGGAACCTCGCGACTGGTCCATGCATCAGTGGGAAAGAGTTTTCTGATCAGATGAATCACGGTTTGTCATTCATCACGCCGATGCCCGTGTCAGGATACGCCGTGTCCAGGCGAACAGTTGCTCCCTCAATGTACAGTAGGTCATACACAGGACGGTGGTGGCGGTATTATTCCTTGGGGGACGTTCTCTTGGGCGTCTGTAAGACCCGTGGTTGTGGTAGAGCAGATCATGAATGCTACAGGGTATCTGAACATCATTGCGGACCAGTTGCACCCTTACATGGCTTCTTTTTTTCTAGCTGGAAGTGGAATTTTCCAACCGGACAACCCGTGTCACAAGGCTCAAATTGTGTTGGGAGTGGTTCCAGGAACATGATGCTGAATTCCAGTTAATGTCCTGGCCACCTAACTCACCGGATCTCAATCCGATAGAACACATTTGAGATGTCATGGAAAGGCAGCTCAGAATTCAAAGACCACTAAGTCGCAATATCTCGGATTTGCGTGACCGTTGCTGTAACATCTGGAACAATCTGTCTCCGGCCATCTACAAAGGACTTGTGGCATCCATGCCAAGGCGGGTAGCAGCTGTGTTCCGGTTAAAGGTGGGCCAACTCGTTATTAAGAGTTGGTCATAATGTTTTGGCTCTTAGAGTATATATATATATATATATACAGAGATGCCAACTGCTCCGGACACGCCAAAATAATTAATAAAACGGTAAATAAATGCGAAGTAAATTTTGCAAATATTTGGCTATTTTTGCTTGCTTTTTAAAAGGTATAGAATGACTTAAGTACTATAAAGTGGTGATTTGTATAAGCCTATGAGTTATTTAGAAATAGTGGTGGATGAAAATCTACTAAATTGAATTTATTAAACCAAGAATCACAATTGACATACTACCACTCTAAAATATATATTTGCTGTCAGGAGCAAGCAATATATATCTATGATCTTTATTAATCTAAACTTTTAAAAGAATTCATCAAGTATATCTTAAGTTAGAAAAATGCCAAGCATTAATATAAGAAATATCAAAGTTTAATTTTTACATTTTACCAATTTATTAACTGAAATGTATTTTATAAATAATTAAAATTTTATAAAATAAACCGTTACAAATTTTATAATTTTTTTTTCTAAGTATACACTAGCTGAAAATTATGCTGGTGAATGTAATGAATGAAAAGAAGTATTATCCAACTAACAAGTTGTTGGCTGTGGGGGGTAACATTTTTTATCATTAACACTTGGTTTACTGGACGCATGGGCTGAAAGCCTATATAAGTTCCAAGACGGAAAGGAGCAAAAACTGGTAAGAAAGGCATTTCATTCTACCATTATTTTCGAGAAACATTATATTTCTTTAACTACTGAGATTTTTTTTCAATTATAGCATATATATGGAACTGCTTCGTTCCTGAGAAAAAGTCGATATTGTTGAATAGTTTAAAAAGAGAATAGGCTTACTCCTTCCTAAAACAAGTTAAAACTGAAATGATTTTACCACCAGCTTTTCTTCTTTTCCGTCTCGCTTTCATCCATGCTGGACGCGTCATTTCGAGTTTAGTAAGATCTGATCACGTGCCTTCCACATCATCTAGGAGAGTTCATTGCAAAATGTAGGGGTGATCATAATGTTTTGGCTCTCGAGTGTATATATATATATATATATATATATATATATATATA